CGACGTCGCGATTCAATCACGCCTTCACTAAGTCCACGCGAATCAATTGAGCATCAGCGCGTACCTTCATGCAAGAATAACAATAGAGAACGACCTCGAAAGTTAACTTCGATTCCACTTCTTCGGCGTGCACCAGCTGGACATCCATATGAAGCAGCATGCAACAAAGTCCTTGCACCACAGCGTCGTGATCAAACCGTACATTNCGTCGTGATCCAACCGTACATCTGTGCTTAGTTTGCCACCGGTATCACGCACTCAGATTTTGCAAGTTTTTCTTGGAGCTGACTGTAGAAGATCGCATCCGTTGCGTACGTAAATTCAAATACTGCTCGAATTGTCTAGCTAGAACACATCGGAAGACACAGTGCACATCGCCTGACAACTGCAAAACCTGTGACCGACCACACCACTCGTTACTACATCGTCCACTACCTGGCGAGCAAACCACAGTCAATCTTTTTACTAATACAACCCGCCGGGCCGTAGCAGAAGGCATCAATGCATTGGAACGAGTACAGGAATCCCTTGCACCTTGCCATGTTTAAGCGACTTACGCACTTAAAATACACCTCTGCTAAAGAGAACGCAGCCACCCTCTTTTCGAACTTACGGCAGTTCGATGTGGCCATGCGACTGCTATAAATAGGGGCACCTTATTGGTTCTTCTCCCTTCTTCTGTTCTTCTCCTTTTTCGACCATACGGATTGGACCATCATCGAGAAAGTATCATTTTAAACAACTACATCAACCGAAGGAATTTATCAACTTTATCAACGTGGAGTATTTACCACATACATCATTTACTTTGCTAAGTATCAATTTGAATTATACATCTACATTTCAATTACTGTTTGGAACATATTTGTGTTATATTTATATTGAATTCTCATTCTTGTACTATTGAACTGCAATATTGTCTCATTAAATTGCATATGAATTACATACATGCGCATTTGCATTATTATACAAATACTTGAGTGCTTCACATCGATTACCCTTACACGTGTAGATCCGTACCTACGCGTACCTCTAATAGATTTGAGAAGCAGAGGCCACTTATTCCAGGCCTCAGCAATTTCCCTTCTCAATATCGTACATAGGCGTTTACCTCGGTAAGCCCTCCAGCACCCACTTAAAATATAATAAAGCTTTTGTACATGCGAAGGCCATGCACTTTCATTTGGTATCCCATTTTTTAATCCAGCGAACGGCGAAAATCTTTTAACTTTTTAATAGGTGGCAACCCTACTTAGAAAAATAATACATTCTTGCGCATGTAGAGGCTCAGTCTTTTCGTTGACAGTGATGGTACAGAACTGATGCCTACGTTTATTATGATTGAATATAGTAACTTTATTAACAGGTGGCAACCCTATTAAAAAAATATTGATTTGACTTCTCATCCAACGAACGGTGCGGATCTTATAGTCTTTTAGACAGGTGGCAATTCTATTAAAATTCTTCTCTCCTGTCGATACAGAGTTTATTAGAGAAAATCTCGTCAAAATCCGTTCAGTAGTTTTCGAGATTACCGCGATCAAAAAATCTCGACTTTCCTTTATACTATGTATAGATATAGATGTATTTCATAAGTTTTGATGTGTACGAAAAATAACAATAAATGTAGCAAGGCGAAATGTAGTGCTACTCAAGGCGAATTCATATAAGGTGATATCTTCTTCTTCTTCTTTATTGGCGCTGTAACCGCCTAAGCGATTTTGGCCAAGTCCAAAACAGCACGCCAGCATTTCTCTTCTTGCTAACTGACGCCAATTGGAAATGCCAAGTGAAGCCAAGTCCTTCTCCACCTGGTCTTTCCAACGCAGAGGAGGCCTTCCTCTTCCTCTGTTACCAGCATCGCGGCCCGCGTTGAATATTTTCAGACAGGAGCGTATCTGTCCATTCGAACGACAGGGCCAAGCCAGCGGAGCCGCTGAATTTTAATTCGCTGCACTATGTCTATATCGTTGTAAAGCTCATACAGCTCGTCGTTAAATTGTCTGCGATATTCTCCATCACCAACGCGTACAGGTCCGTAAATCTTTCGCAGAATCTTTCTCTCGAAAACTTCAAGAGCCACTTCATCATATGCTTTCATTGTCCATGCCTCCGCGCCATACACCAGCAAGGCATGATGAGTGACTTATAGAGTGTGATCTTTGTACGACGAGAGAGGGCTTTACTTCTCATTTGCTTACTCAGCCCAAAGTATCACTTGTTGGCAAAAGTGATTCTCCGTTGGATTTCAAGGCTGACATTATTATTGGTGTTAATGCTGGTTCCCAAATAAACGAAGTCGTCTACTATTTCAAACTTGTAAGTGTCAACAGTGACGTGGGTGCCAAGACGCGTATGCTCTGACTGTTTGTGTGATGACAGGAGATACTTCGTTTTGTGCTCGTTCACCACAAGACCCATTCGCTTTGCTTCTCTATCCAGTCCCGAGAAGGCAGAACAGACGTAGCTCTTGTTTTTACCAATAATATCGATGTCGCCGGCATACGCCAGCAATTGTACGCTCTTGTAAAGTATTTGGCTGAGCGGTTCAGTTCTGCGGCTCTTATTATCTTCTCCAACATCAGATTAAAGAAATCACACGAAAGGGAGTCCCCTTGTCTGAAACCTCGTTTGGTATCAAATCGGCTCGGAGAGGTCCTTCCCTATTCTGACGGAGCTGGTGGTATTGCTCAACCGTATTAGTTTCGCGGGGATAACAAATTCAGACGTCGCGGCATAAAGGAAACTTCTCTTCGTGCTGTCGAAAGCGGCTTTGAAATCTACAAATAGATGGTGTGTGTCGATCCTATTCTCGCGGGTCTTTTCCAAGATTTGGCGTATTGTGAATACCTGATCTATAGTGGATTTTCCAGGCCTAAAGCCACACTGATAAGGTCCAATCAGTTCGTTGACGGTGGGCTTCAGTCTTTCGCACAATACACTCGATAAGACCTTATAAACTATGCATAGAAGGCTGATTCCGCGGTAGTTGGGGCGTATGGCGGGGTCGCCTTTCTTGTGGATTGGACAGACACACTTAAATTCCAGTCGTCGGGCATGCGTTCATCTGACCATATTCTGCATACGAGCTGATGCATGCACCTCATCAGCTCCTCGCCGCCGTACTTGAATAGCTCGGTGGCAGGCCGTCAGCTCCAGCAGCTTTCTTGTTTTTCAGCCGCGTAATCGCTATTCGTACCTCGTCATAGTCAGGCGGTGGGACAGCTACTCCATCATCATCGACTGAGGATCGGGTTCGTCTTCTTCACTACTTTCGGGCGTTCTTCCTGTCGGCCAGCATCTCAAGCTCTTCGCACTCACGTATTTCGGCCTCTCTCTTCTTATTGCGGCAAATACGTCTCGCTTCCTTCTTCAGTTCCCTATAACGATCCCACATGGCTCGCGTTGCGCCCGATCTCAGCACGGCCCTATAGGCGGCGTATTTTTTCTCTGCGGCTGCTTGAAATTCCTCATCGTACCAGTTGTTTTTCCGGGTTCGCTGAAATCCAACTACTTATTCGGCGGCGGTACTTAATGATCGGGAAATGGGGTTCGACTGCTCGCGTATGTCGGATTGTTGAAGAGTGCTCTCAGAGAGCAGGTGTGTTAGTTGAGTGGCGAATAAATTGGCCTAGGCGGATGCGTATCTTGGCTACAACAAGATAGTGTTCCGAGTCGATGTTTGGCCCTCGGAGTGTACGTACGTCTAAAACGCTTGAAGCATGCCTTCCATCTATCACAACATGATCGACTTGGTTTCTCGTTTTTGGATCTGGAGACAGCCATGTAGCTTGGTGGATGTTCTTATGCTGGAACCTAGTACTACATATTACCATGTTTCGGGCCCCGGTGAAGTCGATCAGCCTCAGTCCGTTATCGGATGTTTCGTCGTGGAGGCGGAATTTTCCGACTGTCAAATATCCCTTCCTTGCCCACCTTGGCATTAAAGTCATTAAAGTCGAAGTTATAGCAGCTATTTCGGAGATCACCACATCTCCTCATCAGACTTCTTTTTTTCCAGACTTCAGCAGGGATCGAACCTGCGTAATCGATGTTCAAAGTCAGAAGCGTTAACCCCTGACCTATGTACATCCCGTAAACGCTTGTTGCTTAAAAATAAAAAATATTAAAAATAAAATATTAATAAGCCACAATAACATTGACAATAAAGAATATCATTTGCGCAAAGAAAAATTTGTAAAGAGCTGTTGGGGAAATAATTCGTCTTTTTCATAAGAGGATACCGAAAATCCAATCGCGTGCCTTTGGCATATCATGAAGACCCTGCTAGCAAATATGCTTGTGTCGAATTGAGTTCTAGAGGTTGCTTGGGGAAGTGTTATCAAAGCAGAACCATTGCCGAATTTAATAAATTTCATGTCGCAGCGCGTAAACGATTTTTAGAAAGCGAAGAAGACTCTGCATGATATTATCATAAAACATATTTTCTGAATTTTTTAGTCCTTAAAATAATATCTCCTTAAATTACTACAACCAAAGTTATGTAAATATTAATAATTTTCCTTTAAAACTAACCAAAATATAAAAAAAACAAGAAAATGCATGTTTCTTTTAATTGGCTAGATTTCAATGTCCGCAACTGTATATTGAAAATACAAACGTCATTTGACTTATGGCATGTGAATTTGTGGTTGCCACACCCAACAAAGTAGGGGTATTCTCCAAATCTTGCAAAGCCATTGCACGTAGCACGGATTGCACGGATTGCATAAATTGCAAACACACAACAAGAAAATTCATGGGAAACAACATTTCCTATCGCTGCAAAATATGCAACGTCGAAACCCATGTATATATTTTGCAAAATAGCATAGCAAGATAATAGCGACCCTGTGCTAGTTGTTTTGTTGTTGGAATTGCTACATATTTCTCTCATTCCTCTCATCTCGCTCACTTAATTTTTTTTTGCTGTCTCTTGTTATTGTATTTGATACATAATTTCGCTGCTTGCTCCCCATGCATGCTACCTCTTTGCAATGCGGTGTTCTCGTACTCTTCGAAATTTGGAATAGTATTTTTGCATTTCGTGCAATCCGTGCATCGTGCAAGACTTCGAGAATACCCCTAGTGTATTTAGTGATCAATATTATTGAAGATTTAAGGAAGATTTAACTTAAATCTACTGCCTTTTGAGATTTAATTTTATATGGTAAATCTCAAAATATTTAACGTTAAAT